GTAACCCTTATTTCCCTGTCTCATTCCTGGAAAGTTCTATCAGGAAACTGACTCTGGGAGGAATCTATCTGAAATTTCTGCATTCAACATTTCCAAAGCCATACAGAATGCTGCCCTACCTGAGTCTGGATTTTCCATAGGCTGGAATTCGAATTGTGGTAGTAGTTGTGAGATTGCCTGCTGAATTTGCCAGAATGGATTCATCTCCACTCATTCCACAAATATTAGCTGAGTACCTATGAGTATGCAAGACATGGTGCTAAGTGCCCAAACAGAGGAACTTTTTTTTTTTTTTAACCTTGGCCCCCAGCTCACCACCAGGTACTTCTTACAAGTTCAAAGAATGCCTGAGGGATGAGTTCAGCTCATTCCCTCCACATCCGGAGAGACTGGCCTTTAAAGTAAAGCTTGAAATTGCTGGAAGTCACCCTAGCACCCACTGAGTACGCACGCTGATTCCGGTCACACATCCCCAGCCCGGGTTTTGTAGCCACCAAAGATCTCAGAGTGAGAAATGAATGTTGGCTCTGAAGGCCTAAGGCATACCTGGCAGCCAGAGCGAAAGTCCTGAGCCTGCAAAGTGAGGTGGCCACGAAACTGGCTCCTAGAGCAGTCATTTCTTACCCATTCTGCAGTCACCTGCATTGGTGAAAGGTAGGGTTCGTTCTCTCATCAGAAAAGTGCAGTCCAAGGACACATAGATTTACAAATGATTTCACAGTGTTCTTAAGTTTGAAACCTCGAGTCATGGAGTGGAAATCGTTTCTGTGAAAGGATGTGGCACCTGAGAGCAGTCACCTACAAGAGCCCCAAGTGGCAGAGCCCAACCTCCATGCCACTCAGTCTCTGCTGTGCCGCCTTCACCAGTTTGGCCCTGCGTCTCCAGGTGGAAAGCCTATGGCCAAACTCAGGGCGTAAACTGCTGAGCCCCAAAGTCCCAGACTGGGTCTGTGTGTAGTCTCTAAGACGCACTGAGCCTGGGATCCACCATCCTGAGCCCTGTCCCTTGCTCAGCTCACTTTCCTTTGCTCTGTGCCTAAGTGCATTTGCATCCTTTGAACCAAGTCTTCCATCGCTGATTCCCCCCCAGCCTTGCCAGTATACGGACGCTATACAGAGTTCTCCAGTTGGGAGATTTTATTCCCTCGTGGCAGTGCCGCGCCAAGGGTTAAAAAGGAGGAATGCTGAATAAGGACATCTTGGAAGCAGGGTGTCCCCAAGCAGAGGCCACCAACTGGCAAGGGGAAGAGATGTGACACAAGGTAGGTGTGTCCTAAAGTGCTGAAGCTTTTGGGGACTGAGGAGAGGGGTGCCCCATGGTTCGTGTCACTGATGGCACACTCGGGGCTAGTCTCTGCCTGGCTGGGGGTCTCTGGCTGCCCCCATAGCCCCGTGAGGCAGCCTCACCAACTGCGTTCACAGCCCGCCCTGTCGGTGGGGGGATTTGCAGCTGGGGGCTGCCAAAACACCAGCAAAGGCTGCACTTGCAGTTGCGCGCGGAGAGTGTGTAGAGGCTGAGGATTGTGCACTGCGTGCTCAGACTTGGAGAGCCCGGCGACAGTGAGAAGCTTCTTTCTAGGCACTCTATGTGCTGAGGGCAGCAAATCAGGACCTCGGACTTTTCCAGGGAGGTTGGGAGTGAAAAGATCAGGTGGAGGGGTCCTAACACCCTCCAGTTGGAGGGGTCCAGGTGCTGCATAATTGCGTTTTAGGGTATGCACTTAAAATTGACAGTCGCTGCAGGTATGCTGATGGCAGATCGTGATCATGCTGTTTGTGCGTGGGATCCCATGAGAAGCCCAGAGAAGTTTCAAGGATTGCCTGTTTCAGAGCGATCGGCACACAGAAAGATCTAAACTTGGTTTCACTTGATAATCAGGCATGAGCTCAGTGGAAAATGGTTTTGATTCATTTCTTCTCTTTATTTTATTCAAGAAGGTTGAGAGGATAGTCAGGGGGACTGAGAAGATCCCTGACTCGCTGAAACTCCCAATTCTCCTCCCGCAGGAGGACAGGAAAAAAGTAAGTGGGGGCTCCAGCCCCCCCCAAACAAAGTTAGAGACAGACAAGACCCAAGAATACCAACTGACTGTCCTTCAGTTTGTCCTCTGTGGGCAATGGCCAGAACACTTGGGGCGCAGCCCTCAGACCGCCTCAAATAGGACTATTAGGGAGTCCATGGTCCTTCTTGGGAGTGGTGGGGGTCTTAGTCTGCCAGAGGTGCCCCTATGGTGAAGACATCCACCACACTCAGGAACATGGTCTTGTCAGGGATCTGGGTGAGGCATGCGGAGCCCCAGTTATACTTACACATGCCTTCCACCATGGCGGGCATGACTGGAGGGTTCCCCTGACAGCGTGTAAGGAGCTGGAACGGGCTCCTCGGAAGATGGTCAGGAAGTTGTTGGCCATTGATCTCCTAAATTTCCTTGAGAATGAACTTCTGTGGTTTGTTTGCCTTGCCCTCCAGGCAGCAGTGTTACAGGGCTTTGTGGAAGATGATCTGGTAGGACCAACTGGTGCTGGGCTCTGCGTCTAGCCCTGAACCTGTGTGCTCAGGCACCCACAGCAGGGAGGAGACATTGCTGCCATTCCCCAGTTGTGGTGGTCGCAGCTAGGAGGCAGAAGACCAGCGCGGGGCGCGGGGCGGGGGGTTGGCGGGGAGGTGGCGCATGAGTCCCACTGGGGATGGAGTCCAACACCGTGAGCCTCTTCACATCAAGTTATGAAATAAGATTATAAAACCAAGAGCAAAATACTCAAGCGACTATTTTAAAATCAGTATTTTCCTTGGCGACTTATATATTAGATCGTGTTCTGTGTAGCCTCAATTTAGAGAGGTTCCAGGGATAGCTGGACATAATCTAAGCAGCCCGCACGCGTGAACGTCTAAACTTCCTCGAATCTACTCGGTAAATCAGGGATGGACTCAGAGGGGAATGGTTTTGTAGTTCACGCTAGGAGAAAGAACCCGCCGTCCTGCCAGCCCGCCATGGGGAGAGAGTTTTACACACCCGATCCCCAGTCCCGAACTTCCTCCCTCACGGTGGGGCAGCACCAGGAGTTAAGATGGAAGAAAGCGGCACAGAGGCATCTTGGAAAGTCGGTGTCCCCGAACAGTGGCCACCGAATTAGAAGGGAAGGAGAGGTGGTACAAAGCAGGTGTGTGCTATGAAATGCAAAGGCTTCTGGGGACTGAGGAGAGGGGTGCACCGTTGCCCGGATCACATACGACGTACCGGGGCATTATTTCCGCTGTGCCTGGGAGAACCACCTCACTGGGGTCTCTGCCTGCACTGCACAGACCCGTGAAGTAGTCTCCCACCCACTGTGCCCGCAACACCATGCTTGCCGCGGGGACCACGGCTGCCGCGGGGACCACGCTTGCTGCCACGGCCACGCTTGCCGCTTCGGCCACGCTTGCCGCCACGGCCACGCTAGCTGCCCGGGGAGAGTATGTAGAGGCTGAGGCTCACGCGCGGCGCTCAGACTCAGAGATCCTGGGAACAGTGAGAAGCTTCTTCCTCAGCACTCTCGGTGCTGAGGGCGGCAAGTCAGGACCTAGGACCTCCAGGTGAGCTGGGAGTGGAAAGATCAGGTTGGAGGGGTCCTAAAACCCTCCATTTGGTGTGTCCTGGAGAGAGTGGAGGTGCTACATGAGAGAGCACGCTTACAATTGAGAGTGAGTGCAGGTATGATTTCAGCAGATCATCACCATGCCAAGTGTGCATGCGATCCCGTGAGAGAGAGAGAGACTCGGAGGCAGGCTCGGGCCGCGATTCACAGTGAACCCACGTGGATGCCCCGGGTGTCAGACCCCCTGCGCCGGCTTGTGCTCTGGGGAGTGCGCACATGTTTGAAGACAGAAATGAGTTTGTGGGAAAGCTTTGCTCGTGAGCTTTAGGATCCGCAGGGACTCTTCAGTACCTTCGAGCGTGCTCTGCTCTCTAGTGGATGACTGAAGTATGGCAGAGGCGGGCACAGGGCTGGGATTGCACGCCACAGGGACAATTTGGCAAACAGCAGCCAGAAGCAAGGGGCAGCTGGGCAAATGGCTCCAGCAGGGTGAGGAGCCAGAGGTGATGGATGACAGGATAGGAAGAGGAAGGGCTAGAAGTCCGTTTGGAGGCTTGGGAAGCATCGGTGCCTAACACCTTCAGGCTCAGGCCCAGCAGGGCTTCCAGAGCCTCCTAACCCACATGAGAGACCACCCAGCACGAATCCAGGAAGCCACACAAGGTGGGAATCTGGAAAATTGAGATTGCGATTTCACAAAGTCCCTCTTTGGACCTGAGGGCTCTCGTAAATTCCTCCCCCGCTGGGGGACAGGCACATGGCTACTAACCACAATATGTTCTCAAGCTGGGAATATGGTCCGCATTTCAAAGATGAGTACATTGAGGTGCTGAGAAGTTAATTGCCCTTGACCTTACTGCCTGGAATTGAGTTCTACTGACAAAGTTCTTGCTATCACTCCCATCTCTTGCTTCCCATGAGCTTTGCCCCTCTGTAATTCCAGCTATCCGAATCAGACACCCTGCTTGTGTACAGAATCAATGTTGCTGTACGTTGTTAACCATCCAAGCCTCATTTGGACGGGGGATCTAGGGTCAGACTTGGGGAGCTGGGATGCCCTGTTTCCTGGATCTTGCCCTATACGACTGCACCTCTGGGGATGGAGAGGGGCGCACGTTCAAAACCCAGCAGAACTGAACAGGTGAAATTTACCATGACGTCAAACTGCCCTCAACTTCCTGCTCATATTAAGGGTATTTCTCCTCAGTCCCCACCATCCCTCTCCCTCCCTCCACTCCCATCAATGACCTCAATGCAAATACAAGTGGGATGGTCCCGCGGAATGTTCTAGGTTCTGGACGTAAATGGGTGACACAATCCAATGGGGTACGAGATCTGTCCTCTCATTGGTTGCTCAGAGCTCCTGGACCACCCCAGACCCAGAGCGGCGGGAATAAGAGCAGCTGCTGGTGCTGGGAGGCAGCAGAGCCACCGCTCCGCTCAACTGTCCCTGCCGCTTCCACAGCGCCATCGCCTGACGCCAACGCTGCCGCAGCTGCCACCGCCTGGGCTCCAAGCCACCTGCTGCCTGCTGCCAGGTGAGCCCCGAGATTCCTGCTTAGCTGTGTGATTCTCTCTCCTTCTTCTTCCCTCCCTCTTCTGCATTCGTCTTTCTTGTAGCTGCCCTCCCTGCGTGTCTTAGAGTCTCTGTGCACTTCTGTCTGGGTCTCTTCGTCACAAAATCTCTGTTACTCTACGATTCATCGCAGGCTCCTGCCTCAGGTAACACTGGACAGTCTCGGTTCCGAGACTCCCTGCTTCACTCTGCACTGAGACAGGCTTCAGTCTTGCTGTTCTTGCTGCACTTGGCTCAGGACCCTGGAGCTCCACAGACACCGCGCACACAGTGGGACACAAGGGTGCTCACGGATCCTGTTTGTGCCTAGTGGTCCCGGGAAATCATTTCAGAACTTTGGCCAGCCTCAGTGGGGGTCAAATAGGCTCAAAACCCTGGAGGCAGGCAGCCTTGAACAGCAAGCCCCATTAGTGAGTTCTGGGAGCTTTTCCCCCCTGCTTTAAGTCCTAGCCCCAATTTAAGCTTGGTTCTTGCAGGTTCTTTGCCAGAGTGCGGAGCGGGTGAGCAGTAGAATTTGTTTCTTTAGTTTCTCTAAGATTCCATCGGTAGAGCTATTCCCTTTTAGCTCCCTCCCCACGCCCCACCAGGTATGAGCAAAAGCCCCACACAGGGAAGACAGCTCTGTGTTGCATTATAGGAAAAGCTATTGTGACAGCATTCAGAGACTGTCCTCACTGAAGACCTGGCCAGCTGGAGATTGGGTCTGGGGTGGGGAGTACAGATGTTTATTCATTCTCTCTTCCCCACTTTGGCACTAGGAACACCTCTTTAGCTTTGCTAAACAAATGCATGCTGTATTCTCACCAGACCCTCCAGTAGTCACTTCACTGACAAAAAAAAAAACAACAATGGGAAGGTAAATGGTCACTGGAAACCATGACGCGAGGGAGTTCCAGGCAGGGGCAGGACCAGAACCCAGGTCCTTGGGCTCAGGAAAAAAAAATTTTTAATCAAAGATTCCAATCAATTCATTATTGGTGAAATATACAAAAACTCACAGAAATCACAGGAGTTCCAAACCTATTTTATAAAAATAATAAAATATTTATCAGTATGTACAAGAACATCAGGATTCACTCTTATCAATGGGCTCATGGAACTATGAACTGCTGTGGGGACATCATTCTTCCCTTGCAGAGAGGTACCATGGGCTTCTGGAAGTTCTCCCCGTTCCTGGCTATTGGCATCCTGGTCCTGTACCAAGCAGGCGTCCTCCAGGCAGCACCATTCAGGTAAGACAGCCCTGCCAGGAGTGTACTCCCTTCCCACTTCTCCTAGCATCAAACCGTTCCATTCTCTGGAGGGCTAAAAGGTTAACAACCAGCTCTCAGGGGGGGAAGGTATGCATGTAACCTGCATAAGGGTTTATTATACACATTTTATACTATAAAGATATTATATACAACTTAAAAACATAGTATATACTACTCTTGATTGTAAATTTCATATAGTTTATTGAGCCTTATGGAACAGTCATTGCTATTTACCAAACATTTGTATCTATAGCAAACCTATTTATCTAATTAAAGCACAATTTGAGAAATGAATTGCATACTAATCTAATTTTCCACTGAATTTGTTCTTATTAGATCTAATATGAGACCTCTCAATCTAATTTCTCACCCTTACACAAATATTTTCAGATTCAAACTAATTGTTTTATCAGTTAATCCTTAATAATAGCTAAATTTAACACTAAGCTTATAATATTCCTGAAAAATCTAACCATCACTTTCACCAACCTATATATTCTAGTTCCAGCAGTCCACGTCAAGGTCACCCTACTGCCTGACTATGAGTGAATCAGGGTTTTTTGGAAGGACATTGGACTCATGCCCTGTCCACTAGGATTTGGGGTGGCCATATCCTTAGGGAAAACACAGAGAACAGGAAGCCTGGCTACTGATCCAGGGGAAGTGGTAGACAGAGGCTCAGAGCCTCTATTGTGCTTGCTTCCCCTCTGTAGGTCTGCCTTGGAGAACCCACTGGAACCTGCTACACTCACTGAGGATGAAATATGCCTCCTACTGACTGCAGTGCTGAAGGACTATGTGCAAATGAAGGCCCGTGAGCTGCAGCAGGAGCAGGAGACTGAGGGCTCCAGGTGAGGCTCCCCACCCGGCTCAGCTCAGGGCAGCCCCTCCCTCCTGTCATGCCCAGGAAGGCATATCCCAGGAGGTAAGAGAGAACACAGCCGGACAGGAGGCCAGCACACTGCCATTGTTCACCTGGGCCTGGGGCCCAGCTATTCTCAGCTCCACTGACAACAGAGGTCACACAGAGTCTATGGTTAGAGCACATGGAAAAAGATCCCTTTCTGAAAGCAGTTGGGAAAGGTATGACATCCCCCACTCTGGAAACTGGGCTGGTAGTACTGAGGGGACTTCCCAGCATTGGAGGAGTTAGGACAGGGTACTTGTGAAGCTGGCAGACAGACCACATGTATCTCAGGAGACTTTAAAAATTAGGCTTCTTGTGCACCTGCATGTGGCATGCGTTCACACATTTGCAAGGTGAAGCCAAAGGCTTTGCAGAGGGTGGGCTTGGGTAGAGCAGTGTCTGAGGTAGGTCTGGGGTCTTTATTGTGTAGGATCTGTGGAGACTCGCATGTTGTCCTGGGGCCAGACACCCTTCCCTCCCCGTGTCCCCTGAGCTTGGAGCATACACCAGCCCCGGGCCTGGCTATGGCCCCGTGGGTCAGAGGCATGTGATGCACATGCAGCTACCCCGAGAATCTCAGTGCAGAGCATGAGGACTGACACAATGCAGCATGAGGAATGCTAGAAAAGGCTACCCCTTCCCCACGCAGCCCTTCCCCACCCTGCCTGGGGTTCAGCAAACCTCTAGGTTCTCCTGATGGAGGATGTGTGAGCTGCCCTGCTGCCTGCCCCTCCCGCCTCTGCTCGAAGTGCCCCCTCCCTGGCCCAACCTTCTGCATGACTGCCCTCCAGGGCAGACCTGGTGCATGGTATTGTCTGGCATGTCTTTTCCCTGCAGCCTGGACAGCTTCCGAGCTAAGCGGTGCAGTAATCTGAGTACCTGTGTGCTGGGCACATACACACAGGACCTCAACAAGTTTCACACGTTCCCTCAGACTGCAATTGGGGTCGGAGCCCCTGGCAAGAAAAGGGTCATGGCCAGCAGCTTGGAGAGAGACCACGGCCCTCACATTGGCATGACCCGGGATGCCTACCAATCCCCTCCCTCGACTTTTTAATTTCCTTTCTCCCTTCCTTCCTATATTGTGGTACATGTGGTCCTCTCCGGTTGCTGGTATCAGTGGTTTTCTTTGTGGCAGTGGATGTCTGGAACCTCAGATGGGAGGAGAGCAAGATGTTTAGGCCAGACAAGAAGCCCCGAGGAAGAGATGGGGGGGCAGCCCTGTGACTCCCCTGAGGAATCGTAGCCCAGATTCTCAGTCCTGCTTGTGAATGTGTTTGTCATTGGGGAATAAAAGTATATTTGTAAGAAGACCTGAGCGGTGGTGGTTATTGCTCTGGCCCACACCACAGGCTTCACAGTCTCAGGGACCTGTGCTTAGAAGTAGCCTTAGCCCCATGGTAGCTGGATCCAGGGCGTAGTGAGTAGTCCTGTGACCAGCCTCAAGTAGCCGGACAGGAGCAGCACGGAGCAGGTAAGCACCTCTGGGACTCAGTGCTGGAAAGTCTCTTCCTCTTCCAGGTAAGTCTGAGGAATTTTTCTATTTCTAAGAAGGGATACTGGGTGCCTTTGAGTGGAATGTAGCTTCTAGACAATCCTTGAGTTGGGTCAGTGTGGGGCTATAATTCTGTCTTCTAAGCCTCGCTTGATTTTTAGTTTATTTATACAGGAAAGATAGGCTGTTACAGCTCTGTGTTCCATGGCCACTACCTAAAGCCACTTTGGGCTTTCGGACACCCCTGGGAATGTCTGTGGAAGTGATCATGGCATTTTCCCCAGAAGCCTATGTAGTTCTATAGCGATCACTGTGATTAGGGGAAAGATGTACCGTTAACAGGCACCTCTCATTTTCCCATGAATATCCCATGGGGCAGATAGGATCTCTCTCTCTCTCTGACAGCCTCTCACTGACGGGCCCCTTTTCCTCCATCCTGCAAATCAGCATCACTGCCCAGAAGAGCCCCTGCAACAATGCCCCTTGTGGGACCAATCCTCTGGAAGGCTTGCTGGCCAGAGCTGAGCGCATGGTGAAAAACACCTTCATGCCCACCAACATGGGCCCCGAAGACTTTGGCCGTCACCACAAGGAACTTGGGGCCTGAGCAGTGAAAGGACTCCAGGAAGAAGGTGACTGCCATTCTAGTGTCAGATGGGAGGATGGAAAACCGGGTATTGCAGGGGTGCAGTCCACACTTTAACCCTCTGAGAGCCCACATAGTAGAAAAAATCCACAGGGCAATGTGTCCACTCCAGTGTCTGCAGAGAGAACAGGGAGTCCCAGTAGCTGAAACTCCTAGAATTTAGGTTCATTCCCCTCCATTTGACCAGTATCTCCCTGTGATACTGAGATCATTTGCCAGAAAAGATAGATTTGTTTATTTAAATGGCTATTCCCTGCACTTACAACTGTGATTATTCTATCTTTTGGGTTTGAAATGTAATGACATGCTTTGGGTGTAAACACTATAATGTCATGTACATCTGAATTCAGAGCCTACTCCTGGGATCACCAACTGAGTTTGCCTTCTACCAGCTGTAACCACATGCCAGACGCGTTTTCCGAGCCCGTTTCCCCATCTGTGAATCAGGGGCAACAATAGTATCTACTTGCTAGTAGATTAATATAAAGACTGAATGAGATAATAGATGTCAATATTTTCACAATTAATAAGTTACTAAATTCTGGCTGTTATTTTTTTTTCTAGGTCACCATGAAGCAAACTCTACTTCTTTTAATTTATAATGAATGCAACTCATAGGATAAGGAGCATGGAACACACATACATCTGCATGCTTAATATTAAAAACACTGTCTGAAATAAACTAAAGCTAAATAAATATAGAATAAAATCATTGCAATTACCTAGTGTGCATCTTTTTGTATTTGATTGTTCAAGAAATATAACAGCATGTCTCACTGGCTTCTCTGGTAGCAAAGATGGGCCCTGTCAGCCAACCTGTTGATGTTGGCAATCCTGCGAAAGCTCAGGGGGACGGGGAGTAGCTGCCTGGTGGGTGTCTGGGGGCACATAATAGATACTGTGCCTGCACGGAACTCTCTGAAGAAATGTTGTCACTGGTGAACTTCGTCAAGATAAGAAAGGGTTTTCGATACACTTAAGAGGAGTGCTTACTGCTATGTATGGTGTTTCTCCCAGCAAAGCCTAGAGACTTGTGAAGGCTTTGTTGAGCAGGCTGACCCATGAAGCAAATGCAACATGCTTGGGATGGGATGGGTTCTCAGCATCCCTTAGCAGGATGAGAACTCTATACATCTCAAAGATAATTTCCCTTTATTGCCAGAGTTCCCTGGTCCCCACAGATAACAGAGGTTATCTGTGCACTTTCCCTTGACTCAGGTTTGCCCTTACCCAGCCCTGCCTTTCTTCCTCATCAGCACTCCTCATACACCCCAGAGCCTGCAAAGCCCTTTAGAAACAATGGCTCAGAGTCTGAGATGCCGTCACGGACCTGCAGGCCTGGAAAGGTCAGCAGATGTCATCCAGTTCACCTTTTCTTATTCTCTGGGGTGCTGAGAAGAAAAGTACGCTGCTCAAAAGCCTGCAATATGTTTAACAGAGACATTCATACCTTTAACAAGTACTCATTGAGTGGCTGCTATTTGCCGGACACTATTCCAGGCCCCAGGAATACGGTGATGAACAGAAGAGACAGAAGTCCTGCACTCTGTCTCTGGGGGAGATTAGGGTGATATATGCTCAGTATTGGAAGGAGTCTGGGATGTCCGAGTTGAATGCCTTACCTGCTGTAGGAATTTCCCAGCGTCAGCATCCCTGGCTCCTGCTGGGACTGTCAGTGACATGCTGCTGACTGGCTCCCAGGGGGACTGTGCAGCCAGTTTCACTGGTGGATGCTCAGTTAGGTGAGGTCTTGTAGTTGGAAAAGTCACCCCCTTCTCCGCACTGACTCTAGTTATTTCCTCAGGAGCCCCTAGAATTATGACCCTCATTTCCATTCACTCTATACTCCACACTGTCACCCATTTTTGCTGGAAATCACCCAGAGGTCTCCTTTATGCACAAAGTACTCCATTGACTCCGCATTCCATGGAGGAAACACCTGGGACATTGCAGCAGCTTCCAAGGTCCACAGTGATCTTCCCTCCCCTCCCCTCACCACCAACCCCATGACCTACCTGGCCTCATCTTGGACTTCCCTCTCACACACTGGCCTTCTTGCTAGGCTTCAACCCGCACCCCCAGGTACCAACCCCCTCAAGTGTTTCCCCTTGCTGTACCTGTGGCAAAATGCCCCCACCCCATACCCCATTTCCTCCAGATCTTTATTCAAATGTCATCTAGCCTGGTCATCCTTTCTGAAACTGTACCTCACCTTGCTAACACACCCTAACCCTCTTCTCTGCCTTATTTTTTTCTCTTTACCACTTACTACCTTCTATTCAAGGATATTATATATTTTTTATTTAATTACCTTGGTGTTTGTACCCCACTCCATAAATAGTGTAAGTCCCACATGAGCAGGGATATGGCTATTTTGTTAATTGCTTAATTCTCAATACACAGAATAGGATGCCTGGCAAAGGCAGCACTCAAATATTTATTGAATGAATGAGAGAATGAATGGAGTTATGTCTTCTCTCTTTATGTTCACAGTCAACTCTCAAGGCCCCTCTCGGCTTGATTTTCTTCAGGATAGACTGTCCAGGGTCCTTCATCTTCAGCAATTCAGACACCTGGACCATGAACCCTTCAAATGCCTGGATGCTTCTGCAGTGGCCACCAGTGACTCTACCTCCTGCCTCAAGACCTCCACAGGGCCTGCTCTTTGGTTTGAGCACCCTTCTCGCCCTACAATTCTTCTCCTCCAGATTCATCTGACCAGCTTTTCTTCCTCCCACGCTGTAACAAGGCAGACACGCAGGGTGCTCTCTAGGAGTGATACCTGAGACTAGGCAAGTAAGTTCAAATCAGAAGGGGAAATAGCTGAGAAACCATTTTAGTCTGGGGTCCAAAGCAACTTCACCAGTACTTAAGCTAATACTGCATTGAATTCCCACCAGAACTCTGGATACTTCTCCATTGACTCAGACTCACAGATCTCAGAGTGACTAATGAACCTTCAAACCACGACATATGGTGCACTGGCTCAGAACCCTAAGAAGCTATGTAAAGAGTAGGTAAGGAATCAAAGTACAACATGGACAGACAGAAGACTTCTGCTGGGCCGCAGCATCAGTCCTGACAACTCAAAACCACTGGGCCATTGTAGCAGAAGAATGTCCTTTAGTATCATTAAGACTCATGGCAAACACTCAGAGCTTGAGAATATATGCTGTGGCTGATTGAATTATTGCTCCCAAGTCTTCACTATGCATGGTAGTATTACATATGCTTAGTCTTGCCATGGCCGCGTGGTAGGTGAAATGGACATCCTGCCCCTTGATGTTGGGCTTGGCCAAGTAGCTTGATTAGGCTGATGCGATGTTGGTAGACATGGTAAAGCTGAGGCTTGAAATGTGTTTATGTGTTTGGGTTTTGTGCTCTTGTGATACTGCCATCACCTTGAAAAGTACATGCTTAGGTGTCCTTTACCCTTTTAGCCTGGACTCCAAAACGAGGCTTGTGGAACCACACCTGACCTGCAGTCTAGATCCACATGCAGCCAACACCAGCTGAGATCATCCTCATCCCTACTACGTGCCCATGACCAAGAAAAATAAGTACTGGCTTTGGAAAGCCATGAAGACTTCGAGGTTGTTTATATCTGTGGCAAAAGCTAACTGGTATTTATGATTTGGAAGTTATAAAAGTTATAAAGTGACTGTGTACCCCCACAAACCATATGTTGAAGCTCTAACCCCCAATGTGACTGTGTTTGGAGATAGGGCCTTAGGGAGCAGTTAAGATTAAGTGAGGTCCTAAGGATAGAGTCCTGATCTGGTAGGACTGTTGCCCTTATAAAAACAGAGAAAGATATCAGAGATCTCTCTCTCTTTCCCTCTCCACGCACACACAGAGAAGGGGCCTGGTGGGGACACAGTGAGTAGATGGCCATGTTTAAGACTGAAGGTGAGACTTCACCCACAGCAACACTGATGGGACTTTGATCTTGCAATTCCAGCATCCAGAACTGAGAGAAGTACCTTTCTGTTGGTAAGCCATCCAGCCTGTGCTATTCTGTAATGATTGCCAGAGCAGACTAATACAGGGGTCATTAGGTGGTGAAATTATTTCTGGTACCACAGCTTGCTTTTCCTCTTATTGAGATTTTGGGCTTTATGTCAATTTGTTCAATGTCCAAATTAGCAATTTTACTCGTTTCTTTTTATGAGTTCATTTGCATTTTGTCTCCCTAAAATCAACTTAAAGAATGTTCATTTTGTTTTGGTTCCAATCTCCTGCTGCTGAAACTGGATAATATGTACCATAGATAATGAAGTGGTTTGCTCATATAATGGATATATACAACACACTATAGAACAGTGAATATAGATATATGTACCAACCTGGATCAATCTCACATATAATATTGAGTACAAAATAAAGCAAGTCTCAAAGGATACATACCAGATGATACTATTTCTATTGAATTTAAAACATGTATATCATTACTATACAAAACCTACGGATATATACAGTCATTCACAGGGAGAATAAACATCACATTCTAAAAAAAAGTAACTTTACAGGGTGAGGACGAAATGTTAATAAGAGGGGTATTTTAGTCAGCACTCATGAAAGTTTTGTTTTATTGTGTAAGCTAGGTAGTTGGTATATAAGAATGGTCATGATATTTGTGTTTAGTAGAAAAAAATTTCCTAAGTGTGGGTCTTTTGTATTAAAGCAACTGTCATTGATTTTTAAATGTGTAAGTTTTAAATACACAAGGAGGATCTGTTCTGTTCAATGAAAGCATGAAAAAGACCCCCAAAATATACAGTGAATGCACATTTGAGAAAAGATGGCAATAATAAATACTCATATAGCTTTAGAATAGTGGGATATTATAGTCACCAATTAAGAGTCAAGACTATCAGGCTGCATCTTTTTAAAGAATACAACAGTGTTTTTTCCACAAGAGAAATATTTAGAACAAAAGGACTCAGAATTGATTAAAATAAATGGGTAGTAAAAGATATATGACAAATATGAACAAAAATAGGTTGAAATAAGTTCATAATGTAGGATCAAAATAGAATTCAAGGCAAAAAAACTCATTAGAAATGGAAAAGTGTCATATGGTGGGAAAAGGAGCCAAATGGCAAGAAGTTATATTGATAATACACACACATGCACCCAACAACATGGCCTCAAATTATGTGAAACAAAAACTGACAGACCTGCAGGTGAATTATGTGTATCAAGAATTATTGTTATGGAATTAATGTATCCCACTCAATAAGCCATTAGCTTTTGGAATCACCTCCAAATGCATGGTTCAAAGTTGGCTCTGCAAATACCCCCTGACAATATGATAGGTTTGAGAAAACATAGTGTTTACAACCACAAAGGTGTGATAGAGTTCATTAATAATAAGATTATGTCGGGGCACCTGGGTGGCTCAGTTGGTTAAGCGACTGCCTTCGGCTCAGGTCATGATCCCGGAGTCCCGAATCGGGCTCCCTGCTCGGCAGGGAGTCTGCTTCTCCCTCTGACCCTCCCCCCTCTCATGTGCTTTCTCTCTCTCTCTCTCTCTCAAATAAATAAATAAAATCTTTAAAAATAATAATAATAATAAGATTATGTCTACTTTTCCCAAAACCTTTTATGAAATAAATGTCTCACATTGATTTATAACACTGTCCTTCTATGCTAATCTCCTTCTGGCCATTCTTTTCTCCTCCATTAATAATTGTCTATGTACTAGTAAT